ATCGGCTTTTCGTCCTCTCACTTTGGTAGGAAAACACTTCCGCCACGAGAAGACAGTGAGTAGGGCTTCCTCAACGGAGGCTATTTGAGACGCTTGGTCGTATGGAGGCATTTCGTGAGGTGCAAGGGCAGGGTGACCAGCCGCAACCCTAGACACCCACCCCCAACCATACTGAGGCCTTGAGGCTGAAATAGTCGTAGTCTCTCGTCAAAACCGCGGATTGATGACAGTTAAGTCCATTACTGATGTTAGCTTGCTGTTCGAATATTGGTTCAAGCCGGTTGGTTCTCGGATCGACTGCGGTCCATCAGACTACTGATAACTGAAATAGTAGAACCTGATCGGAAGACAACTGTTTTTGTGCTCTAAGCAAGAATCTCGTTGTTACAATGAATTGAATGGTTGAATCCGCTTAAGAAGTGACAGCATGGTAAGAATGACTCCAGTTCCATTATCTGGGTATGAAGGTAGACTGGCTTTTAGCGGGTTTGAATTCGACAACTGATCAGCACGAGTACCAGGAATGGTGACCGTTCGGGTGGAAATAGTTCATAAGTTTCAAATACGGCCCTTTCTAACTGGAAAGTAGTACGTAGCTTTTGTAATGAATGGAAGGGTGGATGGTTTTTCACATCTTCCGAAAGAGACCGTAAATTATACTGAAAGCAACAGCAAATCTCTCTAAATTCGGAATAATTTGAAACAATCAGGGGCGAGTGGTCAACGCCCCTAAATAAATTTGACATGATCTGACCCACAGTTTTCAGCATATTAGTAGGAAAAGCTAACGAAAAATGATTTTGGTTAAACTGGCAAAATCAAGCGCTTGTAAACACATCCACGAACGAATGAATCTACTGAACTAAATCACTTAATCGTATTTCTTTGCTCCCTCATCTCGTATTTTTTTTCATATTTACATCCGCCTTATTCAATCACAATGATGCAATTTTCGAGAAAGGGTAAGCGGCCAATCAAAGGGCTGCCATGCAAATAGGGAGAGTTAGGCGGCAGTGGTGGAATTCGAACACATTCTCCGGGGTGATAATTTGTTGATGTTACCACCGGGCCACCGCCGCCCGGTTTTCAGTATGCGGTTACTAGCTACTTGGTAATCAGAATATGCATTGCATAATGTCTTTCGAGAGTGATAGGAACATGAGGCGATCATTCTCACATAAAATTGTATTGTGGCAGTCAACAATCACTGAGGTTCCGTTTAATCACTTGGCATTTTTGCTTCGTTCTGTTTACACATTGCACAACATAACCAGTTCAAATGTTCAAAAGGTCCCACGGAGCTCATAATGAGAACACAAATTGGCAAACAAGCTCGTTTTCAGTGTGCCTTAATCATGACTTGTCATGCAACATCGGAGCAAGTGATAATTGGGGACCAATTATGAAACAAACTCTTGACTATTTTAATTACTTTCCCTCTCTTTTTTACTTGTATATCCTTCTTTGATACTAGTCATATTTATTGTGTTGTAATGGCATGATTAAGACACACTGAAAACGAGCTTGTTTGCCAATTTGTGTTCTCATTATAACCAGTTCAGTTCATTGAACCCAATTTTTTACTTTGTTTTGTTCTTCCTCGCTTTCATTTGCCGACCAATAGGATATTGAGTTGATCTATTACAACGCGTTGGAATATAATCCTGCCAATGTCCCTCGCAGTCGTGATATTCGCTCTCGGGCCTCAGAGTTCTGGGACGAAGCCTGTTTACAGTTGGAAGAGGAACTGAATCCACGCGATCTGAATGAGCGTTGTAAAGAGGTAACTGTCAGAACTGCGAACTACTTTGGATTACTTCCCTACGCATTTTCACATGTCACTTTCCTTTCGTATTCGTGTTGGATTTATATTAGTTTTAAGCATAAACCTGACTCAGTGCTGCGTCAATGCTTGGCTTACCGGTTTGCATGAGTGAGTGACTGTGCTACTAGCCCCTCCTGCTTTTTGCCACAAAATGGTGTGTAATAAAGAAGAGCTAAAGGAGGAAATTTTGTTCACTTCACTTATACGATTCATTCGTCCATATTCATACATACTATTTCTATTTCTGATACTTGTGCAACTGCACAAATTCCATTTTCCCCACCACATGACAGGTGTATAAATAGTTGAGCTCTTCAGAACATTGACTAACCTCAATCGGTCTCAGTTCCTTTGTGTTTGGGATATCCTCGTTCTTTCCCCGGCAAATTCGCTAATAGAATGCCATTGGTTTACTTCGTACAAAATGGTATCAGATTGACAAATTCTCCAGATATGCAACGGATATTCTGTTTCTATTCCCTAGAAGTATTTTTCTACGTATATAATGCAAGTTTTGTCGTTGAATGTTTCCCTGTTTCCAACGCTTCTCTCAGGCTGTGGAAGCACAAAATGCACGGGCTATGCGCGAGACCGCTAAATCAAATCCGAGTGAAGAGAACGGTGCTGTATCCGGTCCATTACGATCAGCCGATCCGAATCAACAGAAAACTGGTACATCCCAAGAGGCTGACTCGCCAGCGAAGTTATATCCAATGCCTCTGGGCGGGCGATACAGTCGCCGACTGCATGTAAGTTTTAGGGTAGCGTTAAATAACCTTTTCTGGTTCACCTATTGAAATCACTTTGCAAACTAGCCTACCAAATTCTTTCGTTTCTCGCACGCTCAGACACCCGCCATTGGTTCAGTCAATCTCATCTAACTAATAGTCCGGTATTTTGAAGCATTAGCTTCGGAAAACTATTCTTTTTTAGAATAAATACCTCTTACTTTTTGTTTGGAAATACTCGTCAGCCACAATACAAATTGGAATCCGTTCACTATCACCTGGTTAGAATACCCAACGTGAATATTAGATCCTCAGTATTCGATTATCTTAATATGTGAAATCTACCTGATCAACATGCTTCCCGGTCTCTCAAACCAATGAGTCGTTTTTTAAATTAGCTCAGGACCATGTTATATTGAAAAATGCCGGTTGATGTCTTTGCTTCCAAAAGCCTCTGTACGGTTAAGTGTGGGTGTCATGGGTTGTGACTGGCCACCCTTATCTTGTNTTATCTTGTGTCTCACGTAATGCTCCTGTACAACCAAGCGCCCAAAATCGCCCCTGAGTTGGATATCTTCAAAATGGTGAAACCATTGTGATTTGTTTCTTAGTGCAAAACTTGATTTTCCAAACTGACAAAGATCGTTTTCGGGCGTTTACAATCGAAGCCCTACCCACAGGATAACCAAACAGTTCACTGAGAACCACTGCTTAAGTGGTNGACGAAGTTTACTCCTAGGCCCTCCATCTCTCCGTCACCATTGTGACCATGGTTCCTATAAATCCAATCTTACAACCTTGGGACTGTTTTATATCAGGGTTTTCGAACTCCCATTCATAGCTGTCGAACGCCACTTGCATCCTGTCTTCGTATTATTCATGCATTTTTTAAATCTTGTTATTACTTCGCGCACCTCTTCAAGTTGCACAAAGTATTTACTTTACTAAGCTCACCATAGACCTGTATATTCTTTTTTCGTTTTTCTCTTTGTCGAACACATGTTTACCACATCAGTTTGGTTGTCAAGGTTCTTTCAGAAGAAGATACTTGCCTGTCCCGGAACCATACGCTATATAAACGTGGACAATCCTAAAAGGATTGAATAGATTGTTCATGCCTTCACTTCGTGCCAGTTGCTTTAGCATTACTGCACCTTAAGGTATTTCTGAAAAGACTTTTCCTGAACCTGGTGCAGTAGCAGTCCTCTGTGACGCGACGGTCAACACAAGATGGCTTTTGCCAAACCGAAAGATCTTAGTATGCCAAACATAGCACAGGGTAGAGGTATGGTAGAGTTTAATTTACCAGTTTTTCGGGTCGATAATTCGATTCCAGTTGTCAGTCAAAAAATGGTGGAGGACTTATTGATCTAAATAAATGGGCCTCCACTTCACTTTACTCACTGCCTTGTGGTTAGATTCTTATCAGAAATAAACGCTTTGGTTGAGAACCTTAACTATTCTCCTGCTTAGTGGCGGATCCCCCTAGCCATTCCCATCTATCAAGTTCCAATGCAAAAACTATGAGGAATTCAATACTGCATCGGCCATCGCACAGGATAATCAGGACCGCGCTACCCATCGCATCAAGCACGATTGGTAGTAATAAGCGAGCCACTGCTCAAATATTCACATCTTTGGTTCCATACCCATCGATCTCCTTTAGCTCCTCCTCCTTCCGACCCATAACAATATCTTAACCAATTTTTGGCACTGATCAAAGCTCATTGCCCAATAGCTCTTACTATTTCAGCACCAATCGTAAACCTCTGATTCCAGGCGTCTTTGACTTGACTCATACAAGTGGGTTAGCAGGTTTGTTTGGCTCTAGGTATTGATGCGTATCGGAGACCCATTCTCTCTCTAGTGTAAGCCACTCAGCTGCACCGGGTTCATCCTCGTGTTACTTCTTCCGCACACAGAAAGGCGAAACCCGTATAGTTGGTCAGTGCGGAGTAGGTGCTGTACTATAAATAATATAATAAAACTAAATCCCCGAATCCCGGTCAACGGTCGTTCATTGCAATGAGGCTCCAGGGATCAGTCAGCGTCCGGAAGGGAATCAACGCAGAAATGTTTTCATCCTCTCCGTGTATACACCGATCAGTTGCAGTCTCGCTGCACAATAGAACGAGTTCTACAAAAAATCAATTAATCAGCTGTGCCGAATTTCCGGTAAAGTTGTGGGACCAGACTGTTTCAGCACCGAAGTTTTTAAGTGTGTGCATCAGAAACCGATCTATACGGTCGTTGTGTTTCGCCCTGCCAATAAACTGTAATGGATTTCTTCACCTCTGTGCAGAACACCGTCTGTTCTTCACGATCACTTCATCAAATGGCTTGGTAACCGGTTAGAAACAGAGCAACCGTGATTACTATGCCTACAGCCGAGATAAACAAATCGATTAATCTGATTGAATCATTCCCGCCCTGTCTACACGATCTGCGGGCCCCGATCAAAGTCAGGTCGTGAAAGTGATCACGAATCCACTAAACAACTCCCCCTTGTGCGCTTAAAAACAACTTGTTGGAGCTGTCAAATTATTGTGACCATCCTTCGGTAACCCAGTTATACGCAACAACAAAACCGAAGGTCCATTATTAACAAGAAATCATAGTATTGATTTCGCATCTCCCCTATCATTATTTGTTTCCCACTCACTAACTCATTTTAATGTGACCTGTGTATAATTGCAGTGTATTTGACTAGGTAATCAAGCTAGTTTGCCACTTAGTCTTCTAAAGTAAAAGCAACTGAAACTGATGGGCTTCCCACTACTTGTTTCAAGATGGCGTTGTGGTGGGGGTTCGCAATCACACTCTCTTACATACGCACTGCACAAGATTTAATCACAGGGGCGTATTTCATACTGGGATGGATAATGAATTTTCCGATTTTCAAGAGGGGATCACGCAACCATCGTAGGATAAGTTTGATGCCAGTCGTCCTTACACGGTTGGCCTTTGTCATACCTCGACATCCGGCGGGCGATGTTCGCCGAGACAAGTAGTAGGTGGAAAAGAGCCAAGGGTAATCAGTCTAAAACCTGACCAGAAGAGTTGCTTATATAGATCTCGTTAGGATCCCCGGGGTCATCTTAACCTGTAGCTAGAGATACTAACTTAGAGGGCTGTGTCGTACGGACTGCTGCGT